GGGGGGAGGGGCTGACCTGATGCCAACCCTGCTTACCTGGCTACTGTAGGGGAAAAAAGCCCGCACTGCTGAGGTTTTCCTTCTCCTTGTCCTTGTCCTGTACAGGTGGAGCTTGGGGGTCCATTCCCTTGCCCCCCACTCCATTTTGCTGGGCTGGCAGGTGCTGACAGGGAACAGAGGCTTTAGTGTCTTAGCTCTCTGATAGCTGGGGGAGGGGCCAGCCCTGCTCCGCTGAAGCAGATGATGCAGCCCAGGGCTGCAAAGTATCCTGGGATGCTGGGGGAAAGTGAGTTAACTTGAATTGGGAAGGGATCTGGGACAGAAGTCTATAAACCAGCTTGAACTAAATCAGCTAAATTTGATGCTACATCCAACTAGGTTTATCTTAAATCTGTTTCAGTCTCACTGAACTTCTGTTCTGTTACAGGTTCATATCAGTTTTGGATCACTTAAACCAGTTTGCGTGCAACTTCTGTCCCTAGTCTAGGTAGTCAGGGAGAAATAAAATACAGCAGGTGGTTGTAATGAAAGCTCTAACCCAGGCTCAGCTGAAACTAATTGCAGGAAGTGAGAGAAGTATGTGAGTAGATGATTAACCAGCAACTTTCTTTTCTCTACAGATCCCACAGATCAGTTATGCCTCAACTGCACCAGAGTTAAGTGATGACAGACGTTATGATTTCTTCTCACGAGTGGTCCCTCCAGATTCCTTTCAAGCACAAGCGATGGTGGACATTGTAAAAGCTCTGGGGTGGAATTATGTGTCCACTTTGGCATCTGAAGGAAATTATGGAGAAAAAGGAGTGGAATCTTTCATGCAGATTTCCAGAGAGGCAGGTAGGCAAAGAGAGACCTGAATGCAGTGGAGAGAGATTTTACACGTTGTACCATTTTTCTCTGAACAAATATTTGATTCTAAAATTGTTCCACTACTTTACAATTCCTCTGTAATGGCCCCCTGATATTCTCATTCTTGCACTGCTCATGGGGTTTCAGAAACCAAACACTTGAGGGTTTGAAACTTGAATGGTTTTCATGCACTGTTAAGAAAATATAAAACACTGAATTTCATCAGGCTTCTGGTATTTCACTGTACACAACATTAAGTTATGAAGATATGGTGCAAGACATATTTTAAAAATATTGAACTTTTATCTATTCACAGTTAGAAATTCTATGAAGGCTGCAAATTATTAGACACTGACTCATGTCATGCTATTCTAGTCTACCATCCAAAAAAGTCACGAGAATTTGTAACTTTTCTTTCTCCTCATTTTTTTTGGATCATTTCATTTGAGGAAATTCAGTCTCCTTTACTTGAAAGGGAAAAGCCTAGTACCTTGGGTAATGAGTCAATTAGATCTAGTCAGGAAGTACTTCACGACAAAGGAATATTTGCGGTTTCAGGGTTTCTTTTGCTGCTCAGACTGCTTATGACTTCGGTGGATGATGAGATAGAATTCCCCAAAAGTTCTGGACTTTAAATGAAAGGACTGACATCACTAACCATAGCTAAAAATTACAACCCCAATGGAGCAGGCAAATAGAGGGTTAGAGCCTATTCCCTCAGTTACCTAATTGGATTCTACCCCAACTGAGTTCCTGAAAATGGTTTTTGCAAAAGGTGGATTAGTTCTCTCCTGCTTGCAGCTTTTTGTGATTTATCCTTAAGGCTACGATGATGGCATGCTCCTGAAGTAGGTATGTTAATCGGTTTTTAGAGACTTGGGCAAAGTGTAAAAGGATCACATTTGGACATCTAATAGGTGAAATAGGCCTATAGTGTTTTACGCTGTCTCAGGCCAATATCAATTCACAGACTTGTACTGAAATAATCTGTGTCAGTCAGGGTGTGGAGTGGCCTGATTCCTGATGACAGAGCCCTTTAATATTGATTGGCTTCACAAGCATAAGCAGCATAGCTTATCATATTCCTGAGAGTAGCTTTGCTATACTGCTGCAAAGAACAGATTGGTCAACATAGGTATGTCCCCAGTGGGATTGCTTAGCGTGTGTAGCCAAGCAGTATTGCTATAGTGATTAAGCAGCCCTTGTGTAGACATAAATATAAATTGACTCAGATAGTCTGGGAATTGAGGGGGATCCTGAAGGATCTGTGGGCACATCTACATGAGACGCTACATCACTGTAGCCACAAGCTATTGCTCCGTAGCTTGTGGCTACTGTGACGTAGCATCACTGGGCATGAATCGTGAGGTCGATGCTACTGCAGAGTGGCAACGAGCTAGTGCGCAGTAGCTCTTTAGTAGAAGCTGAAAGTAGCTGTGCAGCAACGGGACTGCCCAGTCATTTAGTACTTGTTTTTGCAAGTACTAAGTGACCGCTCAGTAACAATTGCACAGTTGGCTGCTCGTGTAAACGCAGCCTGTGAGGAATTAACCACTCACAGTTGTTGGTATTTCTACACTGAAATCATGTATAACAGGTAAGGGTAGGAACTCAAAAGATGCCTCCCATTATCAGGGGTTTATATAAAATCCATCTCTGTGGACATATAATTATAGGTTCTGATAAAGATTCACAGATTAAAGAGACCTGAATGTTTCATTATGAACATTTCATTATTGTTATGGCAGGGTTTGCTGTTCACAGGAGAGAACCTTGACCTATCATTGTTCAGTGGGTAAAACTTCACTGGGATAATGACTGCAGGAGCCGTAATTTACTCACCACTTTGATAAGGAAATATCATTCTGCAATGAAAGGATTATGGTAGGGTTTATATGCTCTCAAACCAACATCTCGGGTTTCCATTCTCCATGCTGTTATAATACTGTTTAAGCAGCGTGCCCCACACTTTTGCACATTGTCTTTATTATCTGCAAGCTGAAGAGTGTCAGTGTTCACTGACTCCTCAAACTGTCATTGAGTAATTCAGTGCATCTCAGTCATCAGAATAATCCAAGTCAGCATTGCAGAGGGAGGGGGCTTTCAAATTGTTTTATTATGCTGATATTACCGAGGACAGCTGTATTTGCGTAAACTTCTCTGTTCATTTGAATGCATATGTCTGTGGTATTAGTGAAAATGGTTTTGGCTATAATGCCACAGGAAGTGACAAAATGCCAGTATTTATTATAATTTAAACTTTGCAAGCAACCGCTGTGACAAAATAATAGAGGGAATACATCTTCTACATTCAAGAACAAGTTGTAACTCTTTTATAACATACTGTCCTGCAGATACTTTATAGAAATATCTGAAATAGATGTTCATGCAATGAATGTGAAAAACAACCTACATTTAAAAAGAAAAATCAAGTGGTACAGATGCCCTGTTAAAAACAGTGTTGTATGCTTGGTAATATAGGTCACTCCTACAACACTAAGAAGCTGAAAAGCAGAGTACATAAACTTATATAAGTAGCCTGTCTTGTCTGGAAAGTCATATCATATAATCTTCACTGTTATGTTAGATGTAGTACAGTATCATTTTCCTCTCTGGACTGCATGGAATTTGTTATATGTTGCACCAGTACAGCTTAAGTGGAATTCTTGGTGGATTTAATATCCGACAGAAATTTCCCCAGATCCTTTAAAATCCTAGGAAATCTAAGAATATCCTATTGCCTTAAATATTTTTTGGAGCAACAATTGAACTTTAATGTCAGTATTTATTTCTACTAAATATTGCCTGAATCAGGTACAGTGGAAACAGGATTTTTTCATCTTCCTGGGGATTGATTGTAGCTATGTCCTAAACCCTGTTATGAGGCAGTGCTACACTATATATCTTGTATTACTGTATATCCCTATATAATGTAAAGTGCACATGTTTAACCAGATGGTTAGCCGATTACTATGATGTTAGGGTTTGAGATGAGTCTTTTGATGAGATGATTAAGGGGCAGTGATTTTGCTAAAATTTCCATTTGGTTGACTTGCTGGCTTTTGTACCTGTTTGTCTGAGTGCTTTTTATGTAGTTCAAGTGATCATCAATTCATGTATACACAAATTAATAAGTAATGAAAAACAATAGCAGGAGCAGTGGTATGGAGAGAGAAATCTCTTTCCATTGGGGCCATCAAAAGAGATATGCCTACTGAAGGGTTAAGAACATTTGAGTGTGTTCAAGTAATGTGACTGCTCAAAGTAGTCAAAACTGACTCTTCAACACCCTCTCTTGCTTTCCTCTTGACACACATGGGCTTCACAAAGAGTTTATTTTGGGGGAGAAGACAATCTGTCCCATAGACACTAACAAGTGTATCATCCTCTGTCTCAAATCTGTGGCTAATCCAGAATTTCTGGGTTGGCAATTTAGCAAGGTTCATAGGAGTTGGAATGGCAACTGGATAGTGCTATCCATCTTGGCATGTTAAACATACTTTCAAAATATAAAGACTTTTGCCTCATCCATTCATTTAATAATTCTTCCCAAAGTGACTTTTATTATGAGTACTTGAAGCTAGTTTGAATATGTCATTTTGACAGGAGGAGATGATTTGAATCACCCTCTGCAGTCTGTGGGATTAATAAATTAGGGAAGTGCTCTAATTATGGAAAATTTAAAGGACAATTTCAGGTTATTAATGAAACTAGAGAATACGCAAAATTCAAAAATTACTTTATCTTTGAATTTTTTTTTAATGATGAATCTGCACCACAAGGTTAATTGCTGACTATAATAATATATACGTGGAAGTCTTCAGTGATCGACCGGATGGCTGTACTGTACTTTACGTCGGCCTTCTGATGGGACCTAGTTTTTTATATTTACTTCTTAATATCTCATTTCCTTTTTCTAGCTTCAGATATTCTTGAATTCCATAAACAGGGTGTGATTGCCTCCTATACTGGGGACATCCCCTGGGGTTCACTGCACAGGTTGGTGGGAAGGAGGTCATAAAACAAAGGCATTACTGCCTCTCATGGCTCATCACTGTTGGGTATCTGCACAGCTCCATGTCCATCATGTCTGCTTAAGTTTGAGCATTTGCTCCCAGATGACATGATTTGAGTAGAGATTTATGGTCGCTGTTTGCACAAATCACTGGTGCTGTTTTTAAATCAAGCATTACCTTTTCAGCGGTGTTGTATCGCCTAAGGAGTAATTAGGAGTAAGATTTGAAAGTGGTGTGTCAAGTTGCAAAATCAAAAACACAATAATCTTCTCTCAGAATGGACTTAACAGCCTTTGTCCTTAAATAGGATTCCAAGCACTCTTAGCAGTTTCCTCTTTGGATGGATTTTGCCCAAGTTAACTTTTTCAAGTATTTCGTTAGCACTTTCTGTTTTCAGGTACTTTAAGCATAGTATGAACAATTAAGTCTCAGTTACCTTCTATGCAGTAGGAAGATGGGTTAAAACATAAGTGACCTTTCAAGTGATAATCAAGAGAACCCACAAATCCAGAATTCCTTTTCTCCCTTTAGTCTATTGAAAGGTTTCAACTGTGGAACATCTTTTTGTTAAAAAAAATGTCCTTTGCCCCTGAAAAAAATTGCATTAGAGTTTTGCTTTCAGTGTTGTTCTTATATTTACAATATTTATGTAGAGTGAAGGCTCTTCATGCTTACCCTAGTGCCTACCAGATTACATATGGTGGCCCACCCAAATTCAGATGCACCAAACAGTTTAATATTTGCAGGTAGATATTCTACATACATTTGACAGCACACTAGAACTGTGGTGGCTTTTGCTTGTTTCAGTATCTTCGTAAAATGTAGTGTTTAAAATGTAAAAGTGCAGCAGTGGCAGAGTGGTGAGCTTACTCCCTAGAAAAGGTATTTTCTAGGGTTGGCTGGTAGGTGGAGAGGTGGGTATGTTTGTTTAACTCAGTGTTTCCCAACCAGTGTGCTGTGGCCCAAAAGTGT